AGCACATTAATTTCATTGTAACATGTAACATTAAATTCATCCCAAAGTGTAATCTAAATTTTAAATTGTTTTAAATCAAAAGTATTAGGGACAAGTGCCTTGAAAAGTACCAAATTTTAACCAACCCCTATTTTATTTATTGCATGTGGTACAAAGGTGAAGACAGAGACTCCAAATTGGTAACCATCATCCATCTCGTTTAAATCAAGGACAAATCGTCATTGGACATTTTGAATCAGCATAGCCTAATAGGCCCAATTATAACTTAAACTCATCAAGATCTACATATTTCAAATTTAACCTTTATTCCAAATTTACACACACATATATTATATACAGTACAGCACATGAGTTTGAACGAAGTGTGTATTGTCCTCTGGGGCTCTTAAAATGAAGATAAAAATCGGTTCCGGGTTTAGGTCTTACCATGAGATCTACGGTAATAGATTATTCCCTATTATGGGAATTTCGTTAAAAGTCTCAATTAGAGGTGACGGTATCCCTGGTTTTATGTAGTAGTACCTGGGAACCAAGCCATGACAGGGTAGTGGTATTAGTTTATTTCCATTGAACCCCTACATTGAGTAATCTTCAGTGTAATCTTTGCTCAATAGTAACAACTGGTGTTTTCCCCTTTGTACTGCATTCGTTAATTTGCTCGTAAAACCTTGGTGAACATAACAACACACTACAACTTAAAATAGTTCTATTAGTCTATGGTCATGGTTACTTGGAAACCAATGAGGCCAATGTTAAAAATTGTAGACTTTCAATTCAATTTTGTTGCGTAGTTAGTTTTTTGCTAGCAGTTTTAACTGCAGTAAACACGTTTTTAGGCCAGATATAAATTATTTATCAAATTAGAAGGAAATCGTACTAGCCGTTTTCGATATATAGAGGATTAACAACCATTAGTAATTGAACGGTGCAAAGCGAAGCTCTTATACTACTCTCCTCTTTTTGTTTTACAAATACCTCCTGAACGGCTGAAGCGATCTACACGAAATTTAGCACGATCATAGTAACCAACCATGGGAATGTATAAATCTTAAATGGTACAAATTGGACCACAGGGCTTTTCCCTACGTGAATTTTTTTTTTTTTTTTTGAAATTTAACATGGGCCTTATGGGTTCATTGGTTGCTATGACTTTATTTGCGAGATAACACTAAAAAGATAAACAAGAGTTGCCACATATGTTAGTCAAAGAATCGTTTAAAAAGTACATTACCGTATAGGACACAGAAAAAGGGAAGAACAATAAGATTAATATCATTGAGCATAATTTACTACAAAATGAAAACAACCAATAATTATGGTCGCCGGAATAAGGCTGAAACACCTTTGACTTTAAATAATCTAAATATCCATTACATTTTAACCAAATATAAGCCTACCATTGAGTTATATTTCCATTTAACTTGCAATTCCAAGTAGGCTTTCCATTTCAGTGAACTAGACTTACAATTAAATAATGCAGACTTTGAATAGGCACTGCAATAATTAGGACTTCCATTAATTATGAACCGAAGATACCACTGAGTTTAGATGCTGCAAGTTCACAAGACTCCGTTTATGGGAATCAAATTAACCATTTCTTTGGATCCTGCAAGTAGACAATTTATTTATGTGAACGATATGTACCATTGAGTTTGTATACTTCAAGTAAACAATTCGTTTAAGTGAACCCGACGTATCATTGACTTTGAATGCTGCAAATAGGCATTTTATTTATGTGAACTAAATGGACCATTGACATTGGATACTGCAAGTAAATTTCTCATTTTTGTGAAGCTGGCGTACTATTGATTTAGGATACTGCTACTGCAAATAGACATTTAATTTATGAGAACCAGATGACACATATATACTTTGAGGTAGACAATACATTTAATTGAACCAGACTTGTAATTGACTTTGAATAACGAAATTAGACATTGCATTCATTTGAAACAAAATATATACTAATGAGATTGGATACTGCAAGTATACATTTCATTTACGAGAAACATATGTAACATTGACTTTAGAAATTATTTGATTATTATGTCTGCTATCTGCTCAATGTTGCAAGCAGACAACTGCATTGTACACTTAGTGCAAATTACCTGAAATGTAAAGTTAAAACTGTGAAACACAGGAACGTTTCTCATCCAAAGTCCCCGTGCGATCTCTAGTGTTCACTTGGTAATACATGTGTATTACAAAGTTTAGGGTGTTTTCAACTCCCCACGTGAATGTTAACGTTTCGTAAAAAGTACAAGTTCCTGTATAAGGTAATGTTGTTCTTTTTGCGAAAGACTCTAAAAGTAATGAAAGGACATTTTTTATTTACATTTATTTCGATAACAAACAAGTGTTTTTGACATATAAATAAATTTGTTTGCACAAAACTTGTGTGTATTACGATCCCCCCCCCCCCTAAAAACTGTTTTTTTAGTAGTACATTTTAGGGAAAAATAATACCTTTACCATTCACAGACATAATATAATCTTTTAAAAATTATATATTTTCCGGGTAGTACATATGCTAGTTATTCAATATCAAACAGTTCAATGACAAAATACATATTTTTTAATACAACAAATGGTTTATATGCAAAACTTGACCAAATACACACACAAACTGCAGTTGGTAAAAGAAATATATTATTTACATTGTATAACTTAAAATAAATAACTCTTTCATATTGGAAACAGTATACAGTAAAATAAAAACAAGCCCATGGGGCGTAGCCCAAGGGAAATATGAAAATTAAATGATATTATATTGCATTGTCTTCCATTTGTGGGCTATGTTTCAAGTTTCAAGTCTCTAGCTCATCGGGAAGTTAGTATAAAATTGATTGCAAAGTTTGTACCGGACAAGAAAGCGAGCTAATAAAAACGTTTTAATAAACTTAAATAACAACAAAAAATGTTATTTACCAATTATTAGTGTTAATACAATTATAACAAATATGTAATAACGGGGTGTCAAAAACACCCCACGCGAGTACATACGTTAGTAAAACCCGCGCGAGTAGTTAAAGGTTAAAGTACCTTTAGCATAGAAGTAAGAAGTATAGCAATTAATTAATCTGTAAGTATATAACAAAATTACATAATCGTTTGACAGGCGACGGTAGGTATATAGATACAATAGGCTGCTGACAGTATTACAGCGGAGCGGACAGCGCAGGAACTTGTGGCGCTGACTGTACTACACATTCAACTTGGAGATATGAGACTCCACTCAACTTTTGGAGTTATGACACTCTGGTTTAATTTTTACTTGGACTTTGGAGTTATGATATCTTGGACTTATGAAACTTTGGAGTTATGATCACTTGCACTTATATTTTTCTTGGAGTAATGAAACTAACCCTTTTCGGGTACTTGTAGTTTTGAATCTTTGGATTAAATATAATTTGGAGTTATGATCTCTTGGACTTATGAAACTTTGGAGTTATGATCACTTGGAGTTATGAAACCTTGGAGTTATGAGATGATCCCTTTTTAACCGCATTTTTTAATTTATATTTATATTACAAGTCAGTATTAAGTCATCAGATTTATAGTAAAACAAATCCTTAGTACCAGTTGCAAATAATTTGACTTAAGCTGGCTTGAGTCCATGATCAACTCGGACTCAAAAAATCAGTTATTTTCTGAGCCAGGGGATGGCCGAGTTATCCAGACTGCCGGGTTATCGAGTGCCGAGTTTACAGGACTCTACTGTACCTTGATGTATATTTTTGTGCTGCTAAATATATGCACATTATAATTCAGCATAAATATTTGGGTTTTTATAACTATTTTATAATTAAATACTCCCGCCGCAGCTAACCTGCCGACTAAGCGAATTTCCATTTGTCTGAACTGATTAAATTATTAAAATTAAAATGAATTATTAAATCTATTAAAATAACATTAGCGTCATTAGGTTTAATGAGTACCTAGGTTTGCTGCTTTGAGAAAACAAATAAAGTGTATTTTTTTGTAAAATATTAATAGCTTAGAATAAAATAAATAAATTTGCCAAGTTTGATCAAAGTATATCCATAAACAAGCAAACTACAACATTTTACAATATTCTCCATAATTATAACATAGGAATTTTAAATTTACAATTTTTAGAATATTCTCTGTTACAAAAACTGTACAATAACACTTTGATATAGTAAATTATTTTTTTTTAGCTCTTTAAAGAGGTCTAGAGAGAAATTGAGAAATTTTGTTTTTTGAGGGTTTAAAATTAGAAAAACCATAATCTACCCCATAAAACCCCATTCCCATGGTCCGATCTTACTGGTTTGCAAACTCATTTAACTTTATCCCTCCTTACACCTTTAAACCAAATTTCATCAAAATTGGACAAAAATTACTCAAGTTATCGCGTTCACTGACTTGTATATTTTTTAACAAATCACCAATTACTTTTTTTTAACAGAAACATACTAAAAAAAAGTAATTGTCGTTTTCCGACTAAAAATTTTAAAAATATATATTTAAGCATATAACGATACCTGATAACCCTAGGGCTTGGATAACTGGAACTCGGATAACCGGGAGAGTAGTGTATTACTTAATCCCATTTCCATTTTGTATGATTTATTGTAATTTTTTTTTCAATTGTCACAATCATAAATTACAATTACCAAGACAAATGATTTCACACCTGACAGAGAGCTAGAGATGGTTTGATACCAAACTACTTAACAGGTTTAATATTATTTATTTTAGGTGTTCCTGCAATATATTTTTGTATTTATTAGATCCTAAAGATTTTACTCATGGTAGTTAGCCAAAGATACATTAATTACATGTGTTAAGCTTGTTAACTTTAATCATACACTACATATATTATAATACTACTCTATATATTATAGTAGTATAGGAGTACACTGGGCTGGTTTCTGTGCTGCATGTAAAAAGGCTGACATAAAATCCAGCCAGTGAAAATCCCTTGTGTATTTGTTCCTTTCTTGAAAAAGATTTAAAAAATTGGATACATGTTAGAAAATCTAGGTAGTTTAATTGTCAATCAAATAGTAAATTAAATACTTACAGTTATAACCATTAAAGATCCATCATGTCATGGTGTAAAAGTTGTACATTCTCAACATTACCCCTCAACCAGCCCAGTGTACTCGGGCATTCACACGACACCTACTTTTAAAATAGCTCTGAAATAAATTTACTCTGTCAGCACACCTATCATGCTTCTCACCGGCATTTGATGGGCCTGTCCGTCCAAGTGTTGTCACAGTTGCTTGTGCTTGTGATGATGTCAGAGAAATTTGTTAAACGTGGAAGTTGTACATCCTACTCTCTGGCAAGCCTCCTTTTTCACCAGCTATTAGCTTGTAAGCTCACCCTCCATATCTTTCTTGTATATGGACTATCCATACCTAATATGAAAATATTTAGAAAAGTTACTTAAGTCTTTTTCTTTCCATTTATGTAAGAATATTGTCATTGTTTAAGATTGCCACCAAAGACCCTCTCAACCCAATCAAACAGGATATCAAGAAAGGTGCGTTGAGGTTTGTGGCCAACTGCTTCCCTCACCACGGCTACATCTGGAACTACGGGGCTCTTCCTCAGGTGAGCCTATGTTATCAAATCTGTATTTTTGTTCTATTATTAATATTTTTGTAAATACCTCGCTATAGTTATGCTATAGTTAACTATTCAGATGTATGGAAATAACTTGTCTTTGGCTTGCTGAGGGCTCCGCCCCCAGGCCCTCTTGTTTGGTTAGGGGATTGTTGGAAATATCCTTGGAGAACATCTGTTACTGGTAAATTTTAAATAACACAATAATAAGAAGGTAGAAGGGAATACAAGGATTGCAGCCCAATGCAACTGAAGTGTTTTTGACACAAATATAAGGGGGGTTGATTTGGCAAGGGGAGGGGGTTGTAAATTTTATACAATTTTCTAAATTACTCCTTGGTTTTAAAACGAAGACTAGTAACTGTGGAAGGTTCAAGTTCTTGCCACGATAAAAGTCAGTGGTTCAAGAACTGTTGGGGGGTTCAATAATAATGGGGGAGGAGGGGTAAATGGGACTTTTGAATAATTTATGGCTAATTTAAGGTGCAAATTTTCAGCACGTTTCCAAACGATTTAGATCCGCATACCAAAAGTCAGTTACTTTCGAGGTTATTCCCCATTAGAATATCATGGGGGAGAATTCAATATTTCGGGTCGTGGGGGGGTGGGTGGGGTATCTATCTATACTTATTTAATACGCAAGCAGGATTTTTGTGACAATTACTCCTCCGAAACTACTAAACCGATTGACATTTTTTTGGTGTCATTGGAAAGAGTGTAACGTGAAGTTGTGCAGGAAACTTTCTTCTTAGGTAAATAATTAGAGAGTGAGGCCCTGGGGCCCTTTAAAGTTTCGTATTTCTCCATAAGATTAACATGGGAAACAAACATTGTTTTGAAACTCCAGCTGTTGTCAGAAATTAAATATTAATAATTGGTCTCTATGGAAGCATGAGAAAATTCACAATGTTTACATTTGCTTTGACATTTTAATGTAAACAACCAGAACTGTCAAATGCCTATTTTAAACAGCTGATTGAAAAAATAAAACAACTATGTGGTAGGTTTATTTAATCTTAAACTTTACGATGGGTTATTATAAATCTATTTCAATGATTATGAAACAGATTTTTCCCGTTGCGAAGCAAAAATTAATAATGAGAAGAAGAACATGATGTTAATTGTAAACAGCCAATGTGTAAATTATCTATGTTGTATTAAAAATGTGTATAGTTTTCGATGTTGGTTTGTGTTTAATGATAAAAGTTATTAGTTATTGAATTTTTATTTTAAGGATTTGGCATATGAGTAAGCCTATGATAAATAACACTATTTCAGAGTTCTGCCAGTTTTTGCCTAACTCTGTCCTGTAGAGTTTGAAGTAGCCTACACCTTATTGTCTACAAATTGGCTAAATAACTTAGCTACAGTACTTTATAAAATCTGACAGCATTTTTACGTTGACTTAAATTGTAGGCTTACCTTTTCCTGTCAATGGGCAGTTTGATTGTTAAAAATTAACCCTTTAAACTGAAATAGGACTGTTATGTAAATTGTGAGTATTCCCATTAGTTAATAATCTTTTAATTGACTCTTTTAAAATCATCTGAAATTATGACTGTTATTAGTTTTTAAACAAGTTATTTGTTTATAAATTACTCCTGTACTTATCTGTAATTGCTCGAATTCGAGCAACATGTACACTAGTACTTATTTAATACGCAAGCAGATTTTTTGTGACGATTACTCCTCCGAAACTACTAAACCGATTGACATGTTTTTGGTGTCATTGGAAAGAGCGTAAAGTGAAGTTGTGCAGGAAACTTTCTTTTTAGGGAAATAATTAGAGAGTGAGGCCCGGGGGCCCCTTTAAAGTTTCGTATTTCTCCATAAGATTAACATGGGAAACAAATATTGTTATGAAACTCCAGCTGTTGTGAGAAATAAAAAAGTAAATATCAATAATTGGCCTCCATGGAAGCATGAGAAGATTCACAATGTTTACCTTTACGTTGACATTTCAATGTTAACAACCAGAACTGCCAAATGCTTATTTCACAACTTCAGACAGCTGATCCAAACAAGTACAATATTTTACACGACTATGTGGTAGGTTTATTTATTCTAAAACTATGTCATTGATTATGGAAAAGAGATTCTATAACCGTAAGTTATGAAAATAATGTTATTGATATATTTTCATGTAAACAGCTGGACTACAATGTAGGTTATAATTTTTTGTATAAATTTAGTGGCTTTTCGTTTATAAATTCGAGCTACTTAACAAGTATTTGAATTATGTGATTTAGTACATCTTCCCGTTGCGAAGCACGGGTACATCAGCTAGTTATTGTAAAATTTCACTTTTCGAAAACGGCGCAAAACCTACAATTGCCAAATTTTAGATCTCCGGCTAATCTAGATGTGGGTAAACGTTATTTAGACAGATTATAGTGGTGGCTATAGATAGATAAGGGGGGAATCGATTTTAAGGAAGGGGAATTTTTATATGGTCCTTTTATATTCATACCTTGGTTTTAGCTCTAATACAGTAAATTGTGTATAGTTTTATTGCCCTTGTTCCCATAAAATAGGTAATGAACCAGTTATAACCTCGTTAAAGTGGTGAAATATTTAAAATTTTGACATTAAACATAAATTTTGGGGGTCAAGGAGTTAAGTTACAAAAAAACATATACAGACTAAAATTTAAAGTAAACTGAGGAGAGTACAAGACATTAATAATATTTGCAAAATTAAATTACTTAGGTAAGAAAAGGTTGTGAAAACCATAACAATTTGAAAGAAATTTAACTATTTTTGAGAGTAGGGCGTTTTTTTAAGGGTGAAGGGGTGTGATTTTCAGAAAACGCTTTGTGGAGCTTGGTTAAAAATTTAATTCCTCACCATGAAAATTCTTTCAAATCTTTTCTAGCTCTTACCGTTTTTGAGTTATAGCCGTTTCAAAAAAACGTGTTTTGTGGTTTTTAGATGTCCGCCATTTTGGATTTTTGTGGGGGTTAAAATATGAAAATGGGACTTTTGCAAATTTCACCATTAATTTAAGATCCCATACTACAATACTACCAAATTTCAAGTCTCTAGCACGTTTCTAAACGGTTCAGATGAGCATATGAATGTCGCTAACTTGTTATTCCCCATAAGAATAACATGGGGCTTGTAAAAGAGGTAAAAACCTTCAAATATGATATTAAACTTAAGTTTTGGGGGTCAAGGAGTAAAGTTACGAAAAAACATGCAATGAGCAAAATTTTAAGTAGGCCTACAGCAAGGAGAGTACAAAGCATTAATAATACATGAAAACAATTATTTTGGTAGGAAAAAGTAGTGAAAACAATTGAAAATTTGAATAAAATTTACCAATTTTTGAAAGTAGGGCGTTTTTTGAAGGTGAAGGAGTGCGATTTTCGAGAAACGCCTAATAGTGTTTTGTAGAAAATTTAATTCCTGCCTACAAATCTTTTCCAGCTCTTACCGTTTTCGAGTTACAGCCGTTTAAAAAAAACGTTTTTTTTTCTAAAAAAGGGGGATTAAGGGAATATTTTGGGTGCGTTAGAATTTGAAAATGTGACTTTTTTTATTTTTCTGGGTGGTTTGGGATCGAGACGGACCTAGACAAAAAATTTCAGCTTCCTAGCTATACTCTAGAAGTGCCTTAGAATTAGTATACCTGATAAGTCAGCGAGTTACACATCGGGCTGTATAGTTAGTTAGGTATCAGCTGTAGTTATTATTTTACTTAGCCTAATAAATTTAAGAGTTTGTCTGCAGTAAGCATAAAGTCTTATTTCCAAGGTAATAACCTGTTCCCAGACCATTTTTATTTTACCACCATCGTTTTTTTTTTACTTTAAAAAATGTAGTTATAGTCCTCAAAACAAGTATAGGCTAATCCAATAATTTCTCAAAATACAATCTTGGATTTTTCTAAATATTTTTGAGGATTGAATTTGTCAAAAACTAGGATTTCCATTATTGAAATTAATTGTCTAAAACTAGACTTATCGATCTTTTCATCATATTAATGGGTTCATTACAGTTAAGTTCAGTACAGGGTGTTTTTTGTATTTTTAACGCAATCCAAATCACAAGACTCTTGAGTAGGGGTCTCAATCCCGGGCCTTCAATCCAATCCCGGGATTTCGGGATTCGTCTCAGCCGATCCCGGGATCATTATGATTTTTAACTTTTTAGCCATTTTAAATGAGCGAGAAGTCTCCTCGTTGAGTACTTTAATGTTTTAAACTGGCCTTACCAGTGTTACACTGCGCAATGTTTCCGTTTTCTAAGTAAATAAATATTACCACGCCGAACTTTCATCGCCCGTATTTCTTATTTACAGTGTATAAATGTTGATATGTCACTTTAGAATATAATAAATACATTTAAAAAAATCACGAGCAACCGCACTCGCACGTAGCCTAGATACGTCACGCTCACGCTAATAGATAGATTAAAGATAGCTAAGAGAAAAAGATAAAATGGGAAGAATCACGAGTAGCAGCGTTAAAATGTTATTTTGACTGACAGCAATAAAACAATATAAGATACTGTAAAAGAATAAACCATCTGCTTATGTAGTTGCGTGTGTATGAAAACGTAATTTTAGATTGTAAGAAATTTAATCACCACACTAATAACCAAATACGAAGATAAAGCTTTAAACCCTAATGAGATTATAATCGTGTGTTAATAGTTATATTTTATGGCATCAATGGAAATAATACTTAAATTTCCGATTGCAATGTTATGTTTGCTACACGAATTGCGTTGTTTACGTTTAATGTCAACAGTAAAACTCAAAATAACTTGTAGGCCTACTGTAATTAAGTTCTAAATAATGTAATAACATTTATAGAAAGTAAATCCAAATCGTCTAAAAACTGAAACATATATTTAGGCCTACATTCGTTCCCCTATTGAGTTTAATGATAGTTAAATTTTCCAATCAAAAAGATCATTAGGCCTAATTATACCATTTCGTATAATCGTCCTAAAAATAAAGAGTATATGAGTTTCAAGTGTTATTGGACTATTTTTATTAGTTTTCCTCAAGTAAAAAGTCCTCAAATCACAAAAAAGTCAATATAAACATAGGTTTTGTAATCCCATTAATCCCGGGATTAAAAGTCACCAATCCCGGGATTTCTAGGTATCAAAAATCGGCCGGGATCCCGGGATTCGGAATCCCGGGTTTGAGACCCCTACTCTTGAGACACTTTTTAATAAACAAACAAGCTCATGTGTAGATTACAAAAACACTAGATTGAGTTTTATTTACAATGAATTACCAATAACACTAAACCTCATAGATAATTATGCAACAATGCATGTCAGCTGATTAGCTATGAAGTAAAGAAAACAGAAATGCCAACATATGAGCTTCTTTTCTCATTAAAGTTGTCTTTTGGTACTTGTAATTTGGGTTGTGTTAAAAAAATACACCCTGTAGAACTTTTATTTCTCAGTTGTGTTGTAGACTAAAACGTTTCTAAATCTACTAAACAATATTACTTTACTTGACATGATTTTGTTTTTATTTTTTAGTTCCTTATGATTGCTATGTAGACCTACTATTTCCTATGTCTTCCATAACATATGCTACATTTTAATAGGCTATTCAACCACCATTAGACATTTAATATATAATTAAATCCATTATTTTTTTTATGAAACTCTTAATTTTTTAAGATTTACAATTTATCTGTTTCATGTATAGACTTGGGAAAACCCCAATGCTGTTGACCATCACACCAACTACAAGGGTGACAATGATCCCATTGATGTTTTGGAGATCGGGCACAGAGTAAGTTTGTAGAAAATGTCATTTACATTTTTTGGGAAGAGTAGAAAATACTATTTTTACTTGGTTTAAGTTAAAATAATAGTTTTTTCTCGTATGTCTATATGCATGAATGTTTTGTAAAGCAGTCTTTGGGAAGGTGCATGCTAAAGCTAATGTTGGTCTTGAAAAACGCTACTATTTTTGTAGCACACAATACTGCTGCTAATTACACTAACATTTTCAGCTGCAATGTTGCTGCATTTTTTATAGAGAATCAGCACTTTTTACAACTTTTTTTGCACATATTACAAAGTCCCACAGTTGGGGTATGCATGATGCACATAAAATGGCAAAGTAGTACAAACATTTTGTAGTGTGCACAGTATTTATAAAATATGTATGCTAGTTCATTAAGTAAAATACATTTTTAATAACAGTAAAATCAACATGCAACTTTGGCATGTTGTATTTTGAAGGCTAAACTGCTTTAAACCAATGTATCAAATGCAATAACCTGTAATTGAGAGGGTATTTTTCAAACAACTTTTTTTGTACTTGCTCAAAGTAGACTGTATAACATTTATAACATTTTTCAATGAACTTTTAAAACACGCTTGAATCTGAATGTAATGAGCAAGTGCGCCATAGTTTGGCTTCTTACCAACAGACGCTTGGTTATAGGCCTACCTAATGATAACATTAGCAGGATTAAAACTCTCCACATATACATTATGTATCTTAGAATGTAGCACTGTAATAAACATTTGAAATTGAAATCAATTACATGCCTTACCTGATGATTTCCTTTAGGTGGCAAAAAGGGGAGAGGTCGTAGCAGTGAAGATACTAGGAACTATTGCTTTGATTGATGAAGGTAATCAACTGATGTGCTAAGTCTAAAACATTCTACTTGTAGCAATAATGATCATTCCAGCTATAGAAATAACTATATCCCACTAACTTTATCACAGTACATCAGTACTCTGCCCTAAAATAACTTATGTTATTATAAAAGAATAATTCTACTTTGAGTTAAAGTACTAAGCACCTGAATAATCTCAAGAAATATTGTAGATTTTTGGCATGGTTTGTAAACTCAATTTTAATTATCTTTTTATCAAAAAATTACATTTTTAAATTAGTTAATTTTGATGAGCAAAATAACATTGAATCCGTTGTGCTGCGGCAACTGGACTATAGTAACTGACATTCTATTGCCTAGTTGAAATACTATTATTAAGCTACTACAGTTCACTTTTTTAAATATTAAAAATCTAGAAGGTTGTAAATATTCAATATTTTGTCAAAATTTGTTTGGTGTAGTGAATATCTAAAATAATTATTGATATTTATCAGATTATCAATTTTTTTTAACAATTTTTTTCAGGTGAAACTGACTGGAAAATATTTGCAATAGATGTAAAAGATCCCATTGCTGACAAACTCAATGGTGAGTAGCCTACTTTACATTATTATTGTTATTAGCACAACCTTCTTCATAATCTATCGTGCTGTTGGCTAACATGTTATTTTTACTAAAATTAGACCTTAAGTGTAGGTTATCAGATGAATCTGTGTAGTGTTCCCAGTTTCAAGAAAAATATTTTTGCCAGGTTCTTAAAATGTGTGAACACAAAGCCCAATTTACATTTGTGGTATACACGTGTGGCATCATCAGGAGCATTATTTACAATACCGTTTCTACTGAATCTACACTATTTATTTTATTTACATTTAGTTGGCGGATGTTGTTTATTTACATTAGCGACAGACAGTGTTTGGCATGGGTGTAGGAGCCCGAATGCGGACCGGGGACATCACACTTGTCACTGGCTGTTCAATTGGTCTGGTAGTCTGAAGACTATGAGGTATCGTAACTGAAACCTCCTGGTAGCTCTTAGTACGCCGCTTCATTATGTTTTTTCCTTTTTCAAATTGAGCTGTAATTCTTTTCACTATTCCTCCTACTTGCAATCCTGATAATATTCTTTAAGTGTTTTTTGCTCAGTTACACATTTTTAATGTTGTTACTACTTTATCTTGGCAGATATCAACGACATTGAAAAGGAATTTCCTGGTTTGATGAAAGCCACCTTGGAATGGTTCAGGATATATAAAATTCCCGATGGAAAACCTGAAAACCAGTTTGCATTTAATGGAGAAGCTAAGGACAAGGCATTTGCTCTTAATGTAATTCAAGAAGTCCATTCCCATTGGAAGGATCTAATCAACAAGAAAACTGATGCCGGAGGACTTTCATGGTGAGTATGAAGCCAAACCTTGGTTTATTTGGTTTGCTACAGTAATATAATAGGTATTTAATGTTGGAAACATTACTTGTTTACTTCAACTGATGCAAACAATTTATTGTGAACTGTTTCATATGTAAACAGAAAAAAATGATGTCACCGCTAAGGCAAATCAGTGTTTTCTAATTCTTATACCAGGTTGTCAATTATTTTTGAGCTTTTAATGTTCGTAACTGACCTTAACTATGCATTCTGATACGCCAGCATCACCAGCACTGTATCTACCTATGAAAAGTGTATTTCTACTGGATGTTTTTTTTATAAACCAAACATAACCCAAAATACTAATACAGGTACAGAGAATCACTGTTTCCTGTTTAGGGACAAAACAATCTTACAAGTTGGCAGCCCTGCTTCATTTACTTCATCATCAATCAGCTGATATTCATTCTTGCATTGTTGTACGCATGGTTTGGTGTTATTGGGAATTTATTGTGAGTAAGACTCAACATAGTATTCTCTAAAATGCAACCCTGGTTACGATTCATTGATCCATATTGATGGAAAAATAAGTATATTGTATTGTTCACCTTTACATTTTTGATGTAACCTGTAGTTGTTTTTAGGTAGTGAAATTAGTGATGTAAAATTCCTGAAAATTTAAAATCAGATAATTTTTTCCAAAATTCATAAATTTCCGGGAATTTATGGAATGTTTTTTGTCATAGGCCTACACTCTTTTCAAACTTACAGATTTAACCACTTTAATTGGACCATTTAAAATAATTATCAGGATAAATAACTAAAAATTGGTATAAGTTTTCAAAACCATGTGTAATTTAAAAGAAAAACTGCCCAGAAAAAAATACTTAACAAGAGCACACTTAAATTGCTGTAAAACTACAATTGCAAAAACTATCTTGTTCAGTTTCACTTCACCTAGGCCTGATGAAACAGACCTGATTCACTATCCCCAATGTCCATAAGTTCCTCAATGTTCTCTTCATTGTCTTCATAACTTAAAGAAATGATGCCGATGTCCACGTCTTCACTGACTATATCCTCCTCTTCTACTCTAAAACTGCCACCATCTTTGCTTTCTTCTTCCTACTTCTTTGTAACACTTGTCCTACTTTGGGTTTGTGTCTTCTTCGGTGTTGGATTCATCAGCTTCCAGTTGTAGGAGAGGTAGGTCAATTTAGCTGCTCTTTCTGATGAAAGGCGGTTTCTCTTCTTTGGGTGAATCCACGAGACCGTGTCAAAAGTACGATCTGTGTGTAATGGCCACATCTGCCAAATCGCTTGTTCCTCTCAAGTCTCAAGCCCCTCAACCACAGCAAAGGTTTAGTAACTTTGTTTACATCTCCAACTCCCCCCAAATGAACTTTGTAGGGAAAAGCCCCTCCTTGTCCCGATAATTTGCAACTTTTTCGCGAACCATCATTGTCTGTGTCTAAATTTATTCGCTGCGCACATTCAAAAATTAATACAAACGCATCCAACAATTGGTTGGGATTTAACAAGCTTCCTTGCATTTCTAGACCTAGACGCAGCGTAGCCAGGTGAATGGGTCCAATGCTAAAATATTTTCTTTCTTTGAACTTAGCAAAGTTAATAAGTTTATATAGCTATAACTTAAAATTGAGGATGGTAGGTTGGTCTGAGCTGGGATCTTAACTCAGGGAGGTATTTTTTCCATTGAAAGTAAGTAAAAAATACATCTTAATACGTACCGGTATATGTAAGGGTAATACTCCCTGAAAATGATGTTTTATCAGCGATTGTTTTGATCAATTTGGACCCTATTTAAAGAGTTTTATAAATTCCCACTTTTTTGCAAAATTCCCGGGCAAAGGAAATATCCCATTTCATAAGTTACCCCCCACTAGAAATATTCCTGGCCCACATCCCTAAGTTAGAATCTCACCTGGAACCTTTTTTGTAGCTACTTTTAGCGGTAAGCTGATCAGTAACCAAGTAAAGGAAGCAGGGTATATCAAGCATGTTTTGGCTTGTTTTGTCGCTAAAAAGTGACTCTATAAGTGAAATTTGGCTTGTATTTGATATGAGGCAATGAATGTGCTAAAAAGATTAAAATACCCTGCAATCCAACATTCTTTTGGAAACCATTATAATAACCAAAACTAGACAAAAGCCCAAAGGAACACATCAAGACAAGGAAGGAACTGGCATTAGCCTCCCTTTGGGAGTGCACCCTTTAGTTTTCCAAGCGTTGGTCAACTCTAAGCTTGTGTGGGACTGTCTTGCCTGCTGGAATTAGGTAGGAGGAATGATCTTATGCTTTGTTGGATGGCTGGGGGACTCAGGTGAAGGTGAAGTTGCTGACGGACTGGTAAATGTTGCTTCCATATCGTCCTACCCATGCACAGACTAGTGATTTATGTTTTGTTTTGGAACTTATTACACCACCTCTTCAAGAAACACAGTTCTTATACGGATCTGGTGTTGATGGAGGAATTGCCGAAATATGCATAATCCAGTAGGTTAAACTTGGACAGTAAGGCGACAACAGGTAATTTGACTTTTTTAATCTGTAAAATATGTGGTCCAGAAAAACAACAAAAATAGGAAAATAAAAAAATTACAGGTATAGGAAGTAAAATTAATGGTGGGTTTACATTTTTTTTTTATTAGAGGTATTATAAAAACATCGTGCAGACATTATCGTTACTTCTTATTGTTGGATCAATCGATATGTTTTTGTTAATAGGCCTATCCAGAAAGTAGATTACGTTTTGGAATTAAGGATAAACTTAAACTAATTAAGGATAAGTCTTGGAATATATTTTACTATATACAGATGAAAGCCACAAGTTTCAAGAACTTCGCGAGTGACATTTGCCAAGTGGGGCCGGGCCAGGAGTTGTCGTGAATCAACAGGATCTTTGAGCTTAACTTTCCCCTGCACTTGTTTTGTATCGCTCTTCTAAGGTTTTACAGAGTTTGGCAATACCTTTGAGAGTTTATTGTAGTGCCTCTATCCAGAAAGTCCACAAAAACACCTTCCCTATCCCAAAAAACACTTGCCATCATTTTCCTTGCCGACATCGTTTGCGTGTATTGCTTGGGCTGGGAGGAATTTGTGTATCCCCACAGGATTGACTACAATTTTGTCTCGCAGTTCACATGTTTGACCCATGTTTCGTCAATAGTAACGATGCGATCGAGTAGTGAGTCACCATCTTTATCAAGTGCTGCAATCATACGCTGATTTTTGTGACTCAAGATTTTCGGTACCCATCTTGCACAAAACTTGTTGTAACCAAGCTTTTCGGTGATGATCTCGTGCAACAAACTTCACGAAATTTGTGGAAAACCCATAAAGAGTTCGGTTATTGTGAATTTTTTGAGTTTTACGAACTTTTTTGACAATTTCAGCATTCACCATGTTTCCACTTTGCTCTTTGATGTGAATGTTTTTTTTTGTTTTTTTTACAGAGGGCCAGGCTTACAAGTGATCATAAGATTGCATCACAGCTGGAACAGCTTATTGTACCCCCTGATTCACAGGTTGTCATTCTCCATCAAATCCTAGGACCTTAGTGAACAATGAGAACCTTTTGTCTATGGTAACCTGTTCTTCCCTTTGATCTCCCGTCAATAGGCCGACCTTGTAGGTCTTTCAGCTTGAATTCCCATCTTGTGTAGATGTCTCGCCCCCTCTTTCCACCTTTCTTCCTTGGCTTCATTAGAGTCAGCTTTAGGGGTGCCGCCCTCACCCTTCTTTTTCCCCAGCATCCTGGTTCCTGGAGGAACTGGCTTTGCAGGGTGCAGGGTTTGGGTGTTTGTAGCCCATGCCAGCCTCCTCTCACTTCTGGATACCACCATTTCGCCTTTGGCTAAAGCATCTGCTATCCTCTGTCTTCGCAACTCGCCCCTGGAAAGTCGTTTTTTTTTTTGTTCCTTTCCGCGAGCGATGTTGTCATCGTCAGATTTCAGTAGACATTCCTTCTCCATTGGGGTCAGATCGTCTACGTTGTTCCCACGAATACCAGGTATCTGAGGTCCACCTCCCCAGTGATCTGATTAGAGAGGTAAGGGGTGCGTACGACTGGGTTCCCCCTGGTTGCCAGAAGGCTCTGTTAAGACACTGAATATTAGGCCCCCACATCCACGAGACTCTCAGCACGGATCGCATTACACCTTAGTCTAGGGCCCCCCTCACTTTGTTCTGTAGGCGGACCAACACCCAGTGGCAGAAGGTAGCTCTCAAAAGAGCAGCTAACAAAAGAGAGTTGGAGACCAACCCCGCATGCGAGGTTTTGCCGGAACGGCGCGTAAGGTTCTCCCACTCCCTAAACCCCCATACCTTCTGTCGTGAACATTAGTTCGGCCATTTTTAAATTTTATGACCCACTGACACACTCAACCTTCAGTGATAATGTTTTCCCCATTAACTTCACAAAGGTTCCGATAGATTTCTATCTATTTACAGTTTTTTTGCAGTCAAAAACCGTATAACTGCACACACTTCACAGTTCACTTCACTTCATTTTCAATCAACACAGACATTTTCAACTGTCACAGTAACTCAACGGAGGATATCCTAAACCTCTCAATAGCACAACTAGATGCGTAACGAACTGACACCAAGATGGCTGTGCTAGCCCCGCCCCTTGAGGATACAGACATAAATGTAATTTACTTTTTGGATAGCCCTTGTATTGACCCCTTGTATTTTGTTGCATGTTTTGACAATGTTTTGCCTTGGAATGTTCTAGCTCAAACGTTAGTGTGGATGGCCCGTTCAAGATCAGCCAAGCTGAAGCCAACGCTGTGTTAGACAAAGAGCCCCCTTCCAAACCTGCTGCTCCTACTGCTTCTACAGGTTGATATCTTAATATCTTATACAAAGCGCATACGTCTTCTTAAAATAAAAAGAAGTGTAATTTTAGTAAATAGACTCAATAACTAGATAGATTTTTGATTATATAGATTTTAGATAATTCACAATTAAAATCCCTCGATGTCTTGATAGCCTCTCTAGATTTCTCACCAAGTCATCCAGAAAATTTATACATTAAAGGTGCATTGTCCCTGAAGTGACTCTTGCGATATTAGCTGAACGATAGTAGCTGAGCACTGGTTAGCGTTCTTTCAAATAGGACCATTGTCCTTGACGCGACTGCGACTGGAGCGGCTAGCGGCTGAACACAGCGACTGTAGCGGGTCTGCTCTGAGGGTAGTCAGAGTCGCAGTCGCTGAGCGATTTGTGTTGAGTGTGGAATTGTTTTGGTCGTAATGTCTTCAAAGAATACAAAACTGCTTCATACCCGTGAAGAAAATGAAAAGCTGTTAGGAATAGCACCTCATTCTGCCATTTACGACTTGAAGAACAGTCTGTGTTAAGATAATATATGGGTCGCGATAGCATCATATGTGGGAAGATCAGATATGTACATAATATTAAATCACTACTATTATAAGCTATAAAAAAATCCTTTTTAAAAAATCTACGTTTTTAAACGCACTATAAAGTAAAAAATAATTTATAAATATGTGGGGTGAATAAATACTTGTAAGATTTTTTAGTTTTTCGCCCCACGTTTTTCGTTTTAAATCTTACAAGTATTTATTCTCTCCACATATTTATAAATTATTTTTACTTTTTAGAGCGTTTAAAAACGTGGCATTTTTAAAAAGTATTTTTTTTATAATTTGTTTCCACTTTTTAGTCTTTAATGTGTAAATATGTTAAATCTATTTTATATGGCCTGTTAATCCTTATTATCTGTAATCATATGTTTTATCTTTCCTTTGAACTGCTTATTTTATATTTTTCTCAGGAGCAGAACCTGTACCTTTTAACCTCTGCTCTTCAAACTGTCAAATTTAAGTATTTACAGCTAACTTCGATTGCTATATTTACATTCTTCCAAAATGTTAACATGGAAAATTTGGAAGCCCATGGGGCTTAGCCCAAGTGAAATATGAAAATTAAATGATATAATGTTGCATTGTCATCCATTTGTGAGCTATGTTTCAAGTTTAAAGTCTCTAGCTCATCGGGAAGTTAGTATAAAATTGATTGCAAAGTTTGTACCGGACAAGAAAGCGAGCTAATAAAAACGTTTTAAAATTAGGTTTCACTCGAAAGTCAGCAATTTAATGAACAGAATCGCTCTAGAACAATCGCTTCAGAGACATGATTAGCTACTATCGCTGAGCTACTATTGTTGAAAATGCCTGCATTTGTAATAGTCATACAGATTATATGAATGTTGTTTTTACTATCAGCTGTCTGTTTTGTTGTCCAATATTATTCCTTGTCATGAAAACATTAATGAGAAATACATTTGATTATTTTATAGTCTAAATTCGTTTTTCGTCGTAGTTTTGCTTAGATTATCCCTAAACACCTCCACTTGGGAGAATAATTCAAGAACTATCGCTCAGCTACTATCGCAAGAGTCGCTTCAGGGACAATGGCCCTTAAGACTAGCATAAAGCTGGATTGTCTTTTGGAGTCCTTAAAATATCAGCCTTATCTTAGCCTTCTGTGCAGTTAAATGTACCCTCGTTTGCATAGAAAGCCGTACCTACTGAGTTTTTATTATAAAGTGATTTTAACAGGCTGAAAACTTAATGTATTAAGTTTTCTCAACCCAGACATCCGGTGCCTTGTGTCAACCCATGTGTTAGGTGCTCTTGCCCCCTCTTTCCAGTTTTCTTCCTGGAGGCTTCATTAGTCAGCTTTGGGGGTGCCGCCCTCACCCTTTACAGTTTATTGCTTACACCATAATCACGAAATATAAGAAAGTTCATCCCAGGCCCTTAGTGAACCTTTTGACTATGGTAACATGTTCTTACCTTAACTAAAAGTTTCCCCCAACACCTTCCGCTGAGTAATAACATTTTATTGCTAGTTGAAGATGGTCAATTAAAAGCTTAAGTCTATAAAGTGGACTACTGACCACCAGAGAGTGATCAGTAGACCTACAGTGTGAACATTTGTTGACACACTTTTGAAGACACAATCAACATTGAAGAGTGACAGTCAAACCAATAATGTGAGAGAAAGTAACTCACGTACAAGGCATAGCTGAGGACGGGAATAAGGGAACAAGTGTCGGAAAATAGCTTTCGGTACGAGTTATGAACGATACTTTTATGAACCCACTACGCACGCTAGTGTTGTGTTGTGTCTAGAAGCGGAGCGGACTGCCATTGAAATCGCCTCTGAGCCAAGGAAAACTCGGCTTTAGGACTCAGTTTTTCTCGGTCAGCACCATAGCTATCATCTCACTAATTCACTCTTACTTAACTAACTCATCTCTGCTTTTTACTGCACAACTAAATGAATCCAACCAATATTTTTAGTATTTGAAAATTTTAGTATTCAAACCATTTAGGGTCCAGCATTTTACTTCTTTCACTATCAGCAAGTGATGGATTTACCCTAAGTTATACTATATCCATAAAATGATTATATCAGGCAATCAACATCCAACACTTTATTCAAACTCTCTATGATAAAGTCGACACAATTGCTTGTTCCACTGTAAAATTGAGGTTCAGTACCCAAGTTTAATGCAAACAGCAGATTATTGTTGTCAAATAGACACTTTTACTTATCAGTTGGTTTGTAAAACAAATCAGCTGGAAGATCAGCAGATCTTCCAATAAATGTGGTTGCTAACAATAAAAAATTACAACTGCTGACTTTTACTCCCTAGGGACTAAAAAGGCTTTTTATTCCCTAGGGAGTACAAGAGCTACTTAAGACTCATAACGCATGTATTAAAAACGGCTGTTTTTACAGCAGTGTGACGAAAAAGTTTTCATTAAGTTTGACTTTTCCTTGAGGAAGTTCGAATAGTGACAGTCTTGTTATCATGAAAACTATTAATGAACACAGGCTCCACCTCCCTCACCTTTTTTATTTTGAGACCCCATTTATTATTTACTTAATCATATGAGAGTAAATTAAAGCTAATATATTGGGAAAAAATAATGTATTATCATTTTAAGATAACCATGTAATGTGATCAATATTGTTTCAGTGGACAAATGGCATTTCATTACTCTCAAGTAACACATGTAAAGAAAAGCAAGACAAATGGCCGGTATTAGCTCATGATGAAGGATGGTGTTTTGTATAATAAAGGTTAACGTTATCTTTACAAAAATTTGCATTCATTTACCTAAAAGTTTTTTTCTGTTTAGTTTGTCTAGCAATAGCTACAATGAATTTGTTTATTTGTGTGTACTACAGTAGCAGCTATACCCGTGCCTTACAACAGGGTCAGTATGCAAAAGAGACATTGTTGGTGTTGTATATGTATATATATTATCTAATCAGGTTTCAGTTATTAAGTTTGGCTCAGATGACAACACTGTGCTGTTGCACAAGAAACTAAAATAAAGAAGTCTGCAGAGGTAAAAGTAGCACAGTTTCTTTATGTAGCTGGTAGAGAAACATTGTCAATCTTCCAGACTTTCAAGCTAAGGGAAATAAGTAAATTAAAATTCAAAGATGTATTAGCCGCATTTGATAAATATTTTACACCAAAAACTAACGTAGTGTACCAATGCTTCTTATTTTTTAAAGGGCTCAAAGGGAAGGGGAACCATTTATGCATGTTTTAACGGACCTGAAAAAATTAGCCAGTTATTGTGAATTTGGTGAGCAAGAAGACAGTCTAATTAGAGACAGGCTAGTATGCATCAGGGACGAGTTTCTTCAGGAGCGGCTTTTAAGAGTATCTAATCTTAGACTAGAGGAAGCCATTGAACAGTGTACGTTGTACTGTAATGATTTTCATAAGGAACGTAGTGTTTACTCTTAACTCAGTGTACTCCGGAGAGGCAAAAGCCTTATCCAATAGTGATTTAACTACCGGTATTAATCCATCAACTGGTGTGTATATTAATTGATACTAGATAGCCTGTTGCTCGAAATCGAGCAAAACTGCAACTTGTAATAAAATAATGAAGAACAAAAAACAAAAACAGCATAACCTCAATCATAGAGTCACTCTAAAGTAATTTCTCTGACCAATTATAGAAATGTGAAAAATATTATATTGTAAAAAATTATTAAAGTAATCTATGGTACAATATTTAAATATATATCCGTTCTCATACTGCTTTGGTCTTATGTACTGTAGGCGGGTACCCTCTATGAGAACCTAGATGTCAACCACACACTTTAAAGTGTGCTTTTCAGACCTAATATGGCAAGCTAAATCCCTCTCTTGACGCCAACCAGTGCGATACGTACAATAGCATTGTTAAATTATCCCTACGATATGTGCTGTTTTAGGTGTGCTTTAATTAAGTGCCCTAACAATGTCTCCAGTTGGGAAAATAAGAGTGGATTTAACGACGTATCTAGAACGGATTCACGTTTAAAACTATTATATATATATATAAACTAAGATTTATTTGGCCAGATGGTGCTCTGTTTTCAGCTTTAAAATAGCTGTGACATCTATACAGGTGGCATCATTGTAGCGAGGGAAGTCACTTCTTTTGTCTCTTACAATGCACATAAGAATCTGACTTGACTCCTCGGAGCTGTCGTCCCTACAAATTTCTGCCACAGTTTTTTGTTTTAATTGTTTTACATGCTCTGTTGGGTTCAGTGCCAACGTCGTACTTGGAGATCTGTGCGTATTCAGGATCATGACCTTCTTGAGGAATTAGATTACCTACTCAGTGGTAAAACATATCAAGGATCTCGAGATTGTAGATCCCCTGTGTGACCCTCTCGTCAAAATGAGCTTCAGAGCTGACCATGGCAAAGGTGGAATTGAATTGACGAATTTTATCCAGATACTTTCTGGATCTAAGCCTCACAGCCCTGCTTTCAGATTGGGAATTTCCAATAAGTTCCTGAAAGTATGGTGAATTCCGCAAATGAGGTAAACGAACCTTTCATTTATGGCAACGAAGAGTAAAAATTAAACTGTCTCGGCCAGTCTTCTCTTGCTTAATATGTAAGCCACCACAATGTAAATATTTAACGTTCATTTGTGCGAGATGGGATGTATCACCACGGCGGTACTGCCACTCTGTATCCGTCAAATTAATTGGGAGGTTGATGCAAGCGGTCACATTTGCGTTCACTCCAGCCACTCCCAGGTTCTTTGTCTTACTGGTGGCATTTAATTTGAAATTGAGATAAAATACAAAAGTTAACCAATCAACAGAAAACACTACAAAGGAATTTTGATACACATTGTAAATTATATGATAATATGGTAATGTAACGTGTGCTCTTAATTTAACGGATTCGCTTTGCTCTGGAAGTTTTAAGTCCTGCAGTCTGTGATTAACCTTAAAAACTATTTCAAACTACAGTAGACCCCCTCTTAACCGACCCTAATGGGACCGGACCTAGGTCGGATGATTCAAAAGGTCGGATAAAACGGGCAATCCCTAAAATCATAACATAATAAAGTGCTATTCATTTGGAATTATATAATCATTATTTTGAAGTCATACTTGCATTATTTATAAAATAAACTACTCTTATCTCCTTTTTCATATTGATAGAAATGTCACAAATAAACACAAAACACGGTTAAGACAAATAGGCCTATTTTCAGTGAATATATTATAATACTAGGTAAGAGTCAATAAAATTCCTATTTTAATAACTTTACTACTGTAATGTATTAATTAATGCTTTCCAAATACATCGTAATACAGTAAAGAACCTTTTGTCGTCATTAAAGATACAAGCGACCATTTTGTTACAAGACAGGACGTTTATTTATAGCCTCTCACTGGAGGCTCGAGGCACAAAAACTATCTTGACCTTGGTGTTGTTAACACCCCTTCCCTGCCCTCCCTACAAGTTGCGTTGTTTGTTTACTCCAGCGATAAGATAATCAGTTCTCAAAATCGTAACGCACTTTATGATGTTATAAATTTGCCGCACAGATAACAAATCAGATCAGATGTGCTCGAGCTACGAAAGATGATGACAAACTGACAATAGGCTATGCTATATTTTTTGTGATCATCACAAAATAACTTATTGTTAGTCATATCCTGTAGAGATAAGCGTATGGTTTAGTTCTCATCGCCCAGCGTGGGAGCGGAAATGCCGAGATTCCTAGAAAGCGGCAGTTAAACCGAGCTGCTCTCAAAGCAAGGTGGGTAAAAACAAACTGTATTATTTTACGATCAAAGGCGGATAATCCGATTATCGGTTAATACGAGGTCGGTTAAGAGGGGGTCTACTGTATGTCCATATGTTATTTGTAAACAAAGGAAAATGAGTTTGATCAAATGTCAACAGATAGCGCCGCCTTCCAAACTTTTGCCCTAAAGTGTACTTAAGTGGTGCCCTTTCAAAATATTCTGAGACGTATTTGCACATCTACGTGGAAATACCTTTAATTTGACACCTCAAACTTTAAAATCCATCAAGCCGTTATTGAGTTATGACTGTGAAAAGAAAACTGCTTGCGTATTAATATATAGATATTTACATTCTTTCAAAATTCAAACATGGAAAATTTGGAAGCCCATAGGGCTTAGCCCAAGGGAAATATGAAATTTAAATGATATGTTGCAAAAAATTTGCAAGAAAGCCAGTTAATAAAAACAAGTCCATGGGGCGTAGCCCAAGGGAAATATTGCAATGTTTCAGCTATGATACAACAATGTATGAGCTAAGTTTCAAGTCTCTAGCTAATCGGGAAGTTAGTATAGAATTGATTGCAAAACTTGAACCGGACTAGAAAGCGATCTAATAAAAACGTTTTAAAAAACTAAATTGTGTACAATTGTGGCTTTGACATCCCCTTCCTTAGGCAAGCATGTTTCTTTAAAACCTTTTTTCTCAGCTCGTGTGCATTGTATGGAAAATCTACGCATACTGTTAGACAGCTATTTTTCTGTAGGTGTGCAGAATCCTTTTATAAATTAAAATAGGCTCAAAGATAAGCACAAAAAATGAATTTAAAATTTTAAAAAATTAACACGGGCCATATGGGTTGCCATGTTGGTAACGAAATAACAACAAAATATAAACAGAAAATCAAATCAATTGAAGAAATTCCAATCACTCACATGTTTTATTAACAGCTTGGGGTGAAAATAGAGGCAGTACATTCAATATTTTTGATCCGAGTATTCGACCACTGGCCGACCTCTAGTGTAAGATAATTTAGGCAACAAGCACAACAGCCTATGTTGATCACAGTAAGTTTACCAAAATGAACAGATGATTTCTCATTGATTTTCAGATTTACGTGTACAAATGCAAAAAAAAAACACATAAGATGGTTTATTTAACCATTGTCTTTATTAAAATAATACATCCAACTTGATGGACAGCGTGATACAGTTTCCTAGACACAAGAGTGCACAGCTTCAACACTTACGCTACCTCAACATCTATTTACATTCTCTAAATGATAAAAAATACTATAAAATAATTTTACTAAATCCACAGACACTGCTTGGGAGGGCTATATACAAGGTACAAATTTATTAATATGATACAAACATTAAATATTAACAACAAAAAAACAATAAATATACCTATATGGAACAAAATCTGTAGTTGGCAATGTTAACTCCAGCTAATCACAAAATGTAGATTACATTGCAAGGCGGAGTTCGATCCAAAAAGTATAAATGCCTTCAACCTTATTATAAACATACACAGATCACTACCTGAACGATAAGCAGTGAACAAGCGCTTGAATGTGTCTTTGCCATTGATTATAAAAAATTACCACCGGGTAGACCTAATGTTCAACACATTAAATAGGCCTCACCTTTACGTGGAATTAAGATACAAGTAAAATTTGTTAATATTTAGATTGGTTGGTAAAATATTGAAAGGAGTAGTATTATCTCAGAAAAAGTACCGATATCACAGGTTTTAGAGATTAGTAGGTGATAGCAAATGTGAGTTCTCATAACAAATAAATATTATTTCAGCTAACAGATTTCCTGATATTCACAAATATTAATTATGGTTTCTTGTTTTGGATGAAAAAGGTCCAATAATTATATTTAGTATCTAATAAACCATAATGCAAAAATATTTTCTAACAATGAGATATTAGGTTTACACAGCTGATTTTTTAGTCAACATTACTTTTAAAGAACAAACCAAAAACTAATTATGAAGGGTAAAATATTTAGTAAATAAAGAAATTAAGTAACATTATCTAACTACAATATTAACCTAGTGTACATGTAGCTTGAAATCGAGCAATTGCAAAGAAGTACAGGAGTTATTTATAAGAGTTATTATAAGTCATAATTTCCGATGATTTTAAAAGAGTCGACTAAAAGATTATTTACTAATGGAAATACTCACAATTTACATAACAGTCCTATTCCAGTTCAAGGGGGTTGGTTTTTAACTATTAAACTTCCCATGGACGGGAAAATGTAAGCTTACATTTTAAGTCGACGTAAAAAGGCTGTCAGCTGTTATAATGTACCGTACCTAAGTTATTTAGCAAATTTGTAGACCATAAGGTGTAGGTAGGCTACTTTAAACTTTACAGAACAGAGTTAGGCAAAAATTGGCAGATCTCTGAAATGGTGTTATTTATCATAGGCATACCATATGCCAAATCCTTAAAATAAAAATTCAATAATAATTAACTTATATCATCATTAAACACAAACCAAAATCCAAAACTATAAACATTTTTAATACAACATATAATTTACAGATTGACTGTTTACAATTAACATATGTTCTTCTTCTCACTTATAATTTTTGCTTCGCAACGGGAAAAATTTGTTTCATAATCATTGAAATAGATTTATAATAAATAATCTATCATAAAGTTTAAGATTAAATAAACCTACCACATATAGTTGTTTTATTTATTTTTTTGATCAGCTGTCTGAAATTGTGAAATAGGCATTTGACAGATCTGGTTGTTTAAATTTAAATGTCAAAGCAGTGAATTTTCTCATGCTTCCATGGAGACCAATTATTAATATTTAATTTCTGACAACAGCTGGTGTTTCAAAACAATGTTTGTTTCCCATGTTAATCTTATGGAGAAATACAAAACTTTAAAGGGCCCCACTCTCTAATTATTTACCAAAAAAGAAAGTTTTCTGCACAACTTCACGTTACGCTCTTTCCAATGACACCAAAAACATGTCAATCGGTTTAGTAGTTTCGGAGGAGTAATTGTCACAAAAATCCTGCTTGCGTATTAAATAAGTGTATAGATATCATTGTCTGTACTATCACCTTAAACTGAAAACATTTCAGACAAAACATTTTAAGGAAATGTTTTGAAACATGTTTATAAGTACTCAATAAAGTTTTGTGTCAATGTATGTAATAAACAAAGTATTTGTGCATTAATATTACTTTTAAGATGTCAATGGTGTACATACACAACCAATACCAACACTACAATATATCACTTGAACATAAATAATTTCACATAAGGTTTGCTATTGAGGTTTGTGAGAACAGCTCATTAAAAAACTGTTACTTTTACAAGACACTTTCACATTCACTAATGGAGAGATGTTGCTTGATCTGTGTGTTCCTCAATCCTTCTGGTGATGTCAAAGTTGTACTCTGAAAGGAAAAATTCTATATGTAGATATGTGATAAAAAAAAACAAGCCCATGGGGCGTAGCCCAAGGTAAATATGAAAATTAAATTATATAATATTGCATTGTTTTCCATTTGTGAGCTATGTTTCAAGTTTCAAGTCTCTAGCTCATCGGGAAGTTAGTATAAAATTGATTGCAAAATTTGTACCGGACAAGAAAGCGAGCTAATAAATAGGGGTTCACCGTTGATATAATAAGTACCAAAAATATATTAAATAATTTGATCTAACCTAACAATAATGGTAAAAATGTATATTTCACACCATCAGTGTCTTCAACACCACTCTTACAAGAAGGCAAAACATTTCTTTGAGTTAGGCTGTTTCGTAATTCTCGGTTCGTGATATTTAGGGGGTTTGAGGGGAAGCAATTCCATCCCCTCCGCCTGACCCTACCTTTAAATCAACAGCTGGACAGCCAAATATTTTAATTGAGTGTCATTCTCTGGTAGCTTCTTTATAGTTTTAGATGAGCACTGTAACCATGACTGGACAATTCACCACAAGTTTACAGCAATCTGCTACAATTTTGTTTCAAATGGCAAACTTGACCAATCGTGCACCACCATTTTACTTGCCCCAGCGTGCCTCCAAAGTAAACGCAGCCTTAAATTCCCTACCGACGGTTAGAAATTTAATTTTCTTCATTTAAGTCAGATTTCCATTGCCATCCAGTAACCTGGACATCTCCCTTATCCAGAACTACCTGATCCAATATAGTGCACAATCAGTGGGAGTCTACAATATCATTTGAAAAAAAAACATATTTACCTTTAAAAACATTTTAATCAATCTTGACAGTGGAGTATATTTTGCGGACAAAGAGTGATGTGCCCATGTAGCCGACCGTTCCACACATGATCCCCAGCGCAGCAGAGAACAGCGCCATGTAACCAAAATAGAAGGCTGTTTGGAAGAGCCCGTACATTCTGAAAGGGCAACCAATATTTAACATGAAAAACAGTAATATTTATCTAAAACAAAACAAGATTTATTACAATAGAACATTGATTATCTGCAAAAATAGATGGAATGGAAATTATTAAAAAAAAAAACTCAACTTATTTTCTTTACACGTTCAAGGTTTCTTTTTCTACAAAACAATATGTATTCGTATTCCATTGTGTTCTTTTGATGATAATTTTTTTTACATCCAGTACCTACAATTAAAATTTAAATCTGTAACAAAGTTAAGTACAATGTTTTAACCTGTGCTCGATTTGGGGAAGAACATGAAAAACAGTAATATTTATCCAAAACAAAACAAGATTTATTACAAAGAACATTGATTATCAGCAAAAATAAATGGAATGGAAATTACAAAAAAAACTCAACTTATTTTCTTTACATGGTTAAGGTAGTTCCGGTACCTCTCACGCAGGATAAAAATATTGGCATAAAGGTACATAAATAAATAGGTATAAAATCACATTAACTACTGTACATAGGTTACAGTTCCGGCACCTCATCTTTAACAAATCAAGCACTGGTTTTAACGGAACAAAAATCTTTAAAAAAAGTGAGTGAGCCTCTTAGGGTGAAAACACACTAACTTATAGCAGTTGATCCAGAGTGACTGACATCGCACACATGCAGCGACAGATGTCACATAGTAGGCCCTAAGTTTGCATGTAATTTGCAAACAATAAATTAAAATCTTTGAATCACTGTGTGTGTGTTTTTACCCATATAGTTACACGTGTGTTGTTTAGTCAAATTAAAATACACTTACTTTGTTTTGAAAAAGAAGTAGTAGAATGAATACATGTAAACATAACCAGATGTAGAAGCTGCTGCAAGAAAACTCGTCCACTGCCTGAAATGTAATTGGCTTAATGAAAAATGTGTAAATACCTACAAGTTCAACTTGGAGTGACAATTTGTCTTTTCCTTTTCTTGGACTGAATATAAATCATGCTTGTAAAATAGCCGGTAATTGAAAACAATGTAAATCAATTAATGACATTGCCCTGGCCTTCAATTGGACTTACAGAAGGGGTTTTGACTGAACAGTGGCAGAATACACTGTTTTAATCATGACACAATAAGTAACAAATCAATCTGCGTAGTAGTAATGGAAAATGCAATAAATGAAGCCTATATTTTGCCTTAATAAAATCAAGTCAAATCTTTATTAATCATTAAATAACATGCGTTACAATAGATTTTGTCAAATTATAATAGGGTAATCACCGTGATAATAACTCAAAACATGAATGACATTAAACAATATATTCAAAGGTTTCCAGACAATAAATAAATAATCAGTTCAAACAATCATACTTGCTAGGGAAATAATTTGGTAACCATATTAACTATAAATAAAACTGGTGTAATTTTAACAAGCCGATACCATACATAAATATTAAAAAATATTACACAATGGGATGTAAGATGCAATTGACTAGATGAAACTAGTTCTAATAACTAAAACTAAAGCTGATAAGTCTTGTAAATAAATGGGTATAAATTAATGAGTATATATTAGTGATGGGCGGATCCAAGAAAATGTCGGTACCGGATCCGGATCCAGATAATACACTGCCATAAGGGCGGGTTAAAAAACGTAATCAACAGAATGCCAATTTTAATCATACTGTTTAAAATGAAATTGGTAATTAAGTTTGGTAAATACAGTTACATTTGAGTTCTAACAGCATTTATAATTTAATTTAGTTTTATTATATATTCTTGTGACGCTATTATACAGTTTTTTCTGTGCAAAATAAAGATGATTTGATTTGATTTAATGTTTAAAGGTTAATACATCTTATACATAGAGTAATCTCCAGTTGAGCCCGAAATCCCTCATTTTTTGGGGACACTAAAACTTTTCAAAATCATAAAATGAAACTTTGTCTTAAGTTTGCACGACCACCAAAAGGGTACCTGTGTATATTTTACCATAGTTCGATCAGAGAATGCTATATCGTGGTTTTTGCATGCAGTTCTACAGTTAAACCCTGTGTCTGTATACAAGAAGACTATACTGTGTTCTAACTTAGAAAAAGTTGGGGGAGTCTTGACTTTTTTATTCACCCTGTATTTTACCTGTAGAATTTTACATACCCGGCTATCATCACTGTGGACCTGGTGTAAAGTTTCTCGAGTGCAGCAAAGGCAGTTTGCACTCGGTGTTACACATTATATTTTCCCTACAGTTACTATAAATCATATAGTTAATTAGTCTCTCAAACACTGTACAACTCGTTTTTAGGTTATGTTAAATCCAAACATTGAACAAAATGGGAAACGCTGCACCAGTTGATCGCAGTCGTAATATCTTTAAGTGTTGCCAACCTATCTCCAAGCGAAAACGGATTACATGCATGATAAAAGCACACTGTTTTGTGTTGTTTGGTTGGAATACTGGTGTGCGGTAAAAAAGAACCGTTCGGGCGGATAATTCGACTATTGGTTAATGCGAGGTCGGTTAAGAGGGGGTCTACTGTACAAAGGACGGGTATTTTGCTAGTATCTAATGTACAGAACAGAATTGGTCCATTCCAAACAGTCTTTTTTTCTGGAATGCTAATTTAATTTCATTTATGAAACACATTTACACAATCTTAAATTTAAATACTATGGTTGTAGAATCATTTACCATCGGTAATCCTCGGCATTGAGCAGGAAATAGGTGCATACAATAGTCACACAAACAGTAACTATCATTAGGATTAGGAAGACTAGCAGCATGAAGCCGTAAACGTAGTAGATCTTGTATGCCCAGAATGAAGTGAAAATAAAATACCTGCAAACACAAAAGATAATACCATTATTTTTTTTATTGATCCTAGGCTATTCAGTATACCTTATAATTAGGGGTGTGCAAATATTTGAAAGTTTGAATAGTTGAACGAATACTTTAGTATTCTATTCGAACTTTCGAATATTAAATAAACCTAGGAATAATCTGTAACCTCAACCAAATAAATCATAGTATTCTGTTGTTTTATTTCATCCCAACATCATTCCATTTCAATACTTCAATTTATAACCATCACAAGTCACAACTGCGAATTCAGCATATGAAAATCTTTCCACAACAACACTATCAGCGTACTTTACGAAAAAGTACACTAGTGTGTTCTTTTTATGTGTTATATTGACCTCCTGAGACTTCTTTATTCAGGTGAGTTAGTTGTGTATCCTCCCTTTCTTCTCAATAATTATTCCAGAGCCAAGTTGCTTTTTTTCCATTAAAAAACTTACAATTCATTTAGGTATCCTGCATTTGTTATTCAAAGTAATTAAAAAATAGATGTTGATTTTTCATTTTAGTAATTGAATATACAGGGAGCGGCAGAAATATCTGACGGTTTTCAAGCGAGTACAGTCCGGCAGCCAAGTGGAGGAGGGTGGTGGGGAGCGGCTCATTCTCAAGGCCAAGTGATGCCATTTCAGTCGCCATAGAGCAGTGGACCGGTATACATCGCGCGTTTGTCGTTGAGGCGTATTTTAAAAATGGCGATTCTGTTGTTGATACGGAACGTAAGTTTCGTAGGCATTTTAATGTGGCTCGTGGGGAACCTATCCCATCCCGAAACACCATCAAATTGTGGGTGGATACCTTTAGATCCACAGGATCAACTGCAAAACGTAGGCCTACAGGCCGTCCAAGGTCAGTGAGGACGCCGGAGAACGTGGAGCGAGTGCGACAAACTGTGCTAACGAGCCCGCATCGCCCGGCGCGTGGACAAGCTGCTGCTCATGGCATGTCTGAGCGCTCTATTCGACGAATTTTACACTCAGACCTTCACTTTCACCCATATAAAATAGCAATCGTCCAAAAACTTCAGCAAAATTCGTCAAATAGAGCGCTCAGACATGCCATGAGCAGCAGCTTGTCCACGCGCCGGGCGATGCAGGCTCGTTAGCACAGTTTGTCGCACTCGCTCCACGTTCTCCGGCGTCCTCACTGACCTTGGACGGCCTGTAGGCCTACGTTTTGCAGTTGATCCTGTGGATCTAAAGGTATCCACCCACATTTGATGGTGTTTCGGGATGGGATAGGTTCCCCACGAGCCACATTAAAATGCCTACGAAACTTACGTTGCGTATCAACAACAGATTCGCCATTTTTAAAATACGCCTCAACGACAAACGCGCGATGTATACCGGTCCACTGCTCTATGGCAACTGAAATGGCATCACTTGGCCTTGAGAATGAGCCGCTCCCCACCACCCTCCTCCACTTGGCTGCCGGACTGTACTCGCTTGAAAACCGTCAGATATTTCTGCCGCCCCCTGTATAACTAAATTTATATGTTCAACAAGGCCAATATAAAATAATTTGTTTTATTCGCAAGCGCTTTCGGAAACTAGGTATAGGCTTATTATTCATGGTTTCTGGTTTGTAGACTCAAAATTAGAAAATCATTGAATGGTTTTTTAACCCAAATATTCTCAAATATACATGAATATTTTTAAACGGCAAATTGCGGCAAAAACCTCAACATCTCCCGCGGTTCGTAGTCACTATTGTCGTCCGCCGTAATTCAATGAATCAATCAAGAAATTTATTTACACAATAATTTAACAATACATAGGTTACAAAAGTGCAAAAAAAACCACAAATGGTTTGTCTGCACTAAAAATATTGTTTCTCATTTACCATACAGTTTTGTCAGTTTGAATCAGTAGCATGCAGTATTATGAGTCCTTAATTGTCTTTTGAGTGATTAATAACAAAAAAAGACAACAAAGACACAAATATCTGTAAAAATTCAACAGTAACAATAATAAATAAACTATTAGAATAAATAACAATAATAAATTACTTTAACTTCAACTAAAAATGTAAATAAATTAAATGCATATTATTGTAATATTGTAATAAATTAAATTTGTAACAAATCATTCCAAACAAGTTCCTTTAAATAATTTTTAAACATGCTATAACTATTTACAAAAACCATATGATTTGTGAGGTTATTAAAACATTTGGGAACAAAAACTTCTAGTGTTCTACTTCCATACATATTCCTGTGCCTTGGTACAAAATAATAATTCCTTCTAAGTTCTAACATCATATGGGTGATTATTGACAATTTTCAAGCTGTCACCAAATAAATGATCAGTGGATATCAAAAATACATACAACTTACTAACAGGTAGCAGTCTAACAAAATAAAAAATCTTTATTATTGGTAACTCCTTGCTTAATGTGCACTGGAACAATACATTTGAGCGCTTGCTCCTGCAGATGCTCAATTTTCCTCAGACAAGTCTTTGAAGCATTGCCCCATGCTCGCACACCATATCTTAAAACTGATTCACACAATGACTGGTAAATCACCAATAGCACATTAAATGGCAGGACACTTTTTTAATAAAAAATTTTGCAAACACATGCCCTGATTTTTTTACAAACCAAATTAACATGTATATCCCATTTAAAATTGTGGTCAACATGAACCCCTAAATATTTAAAATCATGCACATTCTCTAAACTCTTACATTGACAACTTTTTGGGATAAGTGAGTAAGTATGATTATGTAAACAATCAAAATTATGGTAAGTACACAATTATTATGGTACATAATAATGTAATGTAATTATGGTTACATTAGAACATTTAAATGCAGGTGAATGCACGCACATGCATGACCTTGGACTTTTTGTAATTTATTATCAATCCATAGTCATGACACCATTCTAAAAGGTTGTTAACAGCATTCTGCATATTTTTTTCTGCCTCTTTATATTTTTGTTTGATACGACAATTGCAGTGTCATCAGCGTACATAAAAGCCGTGGCTTCTTTTATATATTTTGGGAGTGTATTTGCATATATTATATATAAGATTGGGCCCAAAATACTTCCTTGAGGTACCCCAGAAAAAAGTTCTGCCTCTTCACTAAATGTACTATGCACTTTTACAATAATTTTTCTGTTTTTCAGATAGTCTCTAAACCATTCTAAAAACCTGCCAGCAATTCTTATGTCCTTGAGTGCTGTCAATATTTGATCAAACTGCAGTGTATCAAAAGCTTTAGTAAAGTCTATAAAAGTTACTATTACTTGATTGCCCTGCCCTAATTCTTTGTTAATATTGTTAGAAAAATCTTTTAGCAATAACTCTGTACTTTTGTTTATCTGGAAACCATACTGACTTTTATTTATAACATCATTTTCTGCTAAGTATTTATTTAAATGGTGTGCAATGTACCTTTCCATTATTTTATCTATTGAAGACAGAATCGATATTGGGCGATAGTTCTGGTATGAATTGTGGCAACCTGATTTATAAACAGGTCTTATAATAGCAGTTTTTAGCAGAGTCGGCATTCTGCCTTCATCAAGTGATGCATTTATTATATTAACCAGCACTTCAGCGGCTTCTAAATTACACTTTTTTAAATCATATACTCTTAATCCATCTATAGTGGAAGAATATTAGGAAAATCGATCTAACAAATTCGGACTAAGTGGAAACTTTGCACAGTTGTTTAGTAAGCCTAAATAAATAAAATATCAAAAGTCCCCATAAATCCCGGCTGTGCTTCAGCCGCCATCTTGGAAAATGGCGGCCAATTTTAACTTTTTTTACAATATTTCACAAACTATTGGTATTAGAGAATTTGTGTAAATACACAAGTTAAAGAACGTCTAAAAATGCATATTTTTTATATTACAAGGTTTTCTCTATCTCTAACGGTTATTGAGATAAATAATAAAAATAATATTAAATTTAAAATTCCCATGTTATTCTTAAAGAGGAAAATAAAATTGTTGCAGTTTGCTTATATGTGGATATATTTGGATCAAACTTAGCAAAATTATTTATTTTTTATACTAAGCAATTAATATTTAACATAAATACACACTTTAGTACCCTCCCTATAGCAGTAAACCGAGTAATCGTTTAATTTAAAGATATTTAAATTTTAAAAATTTTAAAGATTTTAAAGATTATTTAATTTAAAGATATTATAAAAACTCGATATTATATACTCGGTTGCTAAATAAATATTCTGTGGATTTTTTTTTCATTTGTTTAAATAACCTATCCCTTCTTTTTATTTTGTTTAGTATGTCCCAACTCAACCAACCTTTCCTAGGATGTTTGTGCATTACATTCTGCACTATTTTTGCTTTATCTATAATATTAAAACGAAACAGTGTTTTTTTATTTCACGATTCTGAATCAACCACTCGACGGATTTTCATGATTTTTGTGTTGAAAGTAAGATAATTTTGAGAACTAGGGAATGTCGAAGCCATAATTTTAGTTAGGGCCCGAGATTTTTTGAAATTAAGTTTTAATTTTTAAAAAGTCTAGCAGCCGACGCTAAGATTCTAAACTAGCTTTTGGCATAAAATAATTTGCTTAACATAACAGCTGTAAACATTCAGCTTTTGTGTCACAAATTCAGCATTTGGATAAAAATGTAAAGACATACTTAGGGTTGACTTATTTATACTATGTGTAATGCTAATCATTGATACGTTCAATTCTTCTGTAAGACGATGACAGATTAATTAAATATACATAGTAAAATACTAGGATGTTCAAATTATATTTAAAAGCAATCTTTGTAATCTTCGATTTGTTTAAGAGCGATATAATTTGTTTTCACTAACAGCTGGTTAAATATCAACTATGGAATTATGAGGTTATTTTATTTACTCTTATTTTGTCATTGATTATAGTAAATAAGTAAGATTAGTAGAGATAATTAGACCACAGTTAAAAAAAAATTAATTAAACCACCGTACAAATCGAGGCTCTGTACACGAGTCTTAATAAAAAAGGATAAAAGCAAATTATTTTACTGCTACACTTTTCAAGCACTTTTGCTACGCTTTTTGTTTACAATTAATGTTTGTCTGGTTTAACTTTGTTTGGATTAGGTGCGGAAATATTGATGTCATAAAAAGAAGATCAAGAATAATCAGGAATCACGATTTTAAATTACCACCACAACCTCAGCCAGTTTTATACAAAGATGGATGACATAGATTGAACACAACGTCAACATTGACCTAGGATACTGCAATTAGACAAACCATCCTTTTATGAAATCGTGTTCAGTTGTGGTTACGTTTGGAGCGCCTATATCAGCGCCCCCAAACGTGAAAATATCACTTTTATTTCAACGATGAATATATTGTAGTTTAAAATAATTAATTACGATGTACATTTATTCAATGAGGGTGGGTAATTATCAAGGATAGAACTGATAACGGTATGGATAATAATCATTGACAATTTCGTCATTAGCTTTACTAGCGTGTTTACTTTTTATATTCCTGCTACATGTGACCAGTTCTTTTTTCAATTGATGTTATTTGAACCAAACAGCTGTTTCAAAACAAACTGTTATTGTTTTTACTTTTCTTTGTTTACGCTTATTTATTTAGCAATTAATGCAGTGATAGGTGTGACGATTAGTTTTGATGTTAGGACACCAAAGTTAAATTATGTGTACTGTGAATTTTATTGGATATTATCGTTTTATTTTAGGTAGTTTCTATTCAGACCTACTGGAAATTGTGTATAGTAGTTGTATTGTGGTGATAATAATTACGGAAGAGGCAGGTATGCTTTGGAAGGTGGTATCGTTGACTAGGTCTATACACTTCTCATTTGACTATTACTCTCTCTACTGTAGGCTACTTATAATCAGTGTGCGTCTGTGCGAAACGGCTGCAAATCTCACTTCAACGGTTTTAACATCGTAAAAATTGCAGAATTGCTGTTTTATTGTAAAATTATCTGATTTAAAATACATATCGTATAGGCCTATGATGGAATAAAAACATATTTGGTCACACAACATTTTGTTTACAAGATGATTTTTCTCATTAAAACTGCAAGAAACTTTGTCTTTGTGTAAACTAGCTGATCTGAATTGTACACGGTTTTACTTAACTGACTACTGAATTCCCGTACGTAGGACGGGCTAACACCTCGTTATATATGAAGTTGAAAGTATTACATAATTCCTGTTAAACTGCATTAGACGAAAAAGGTTGTACATTTTTAATTGGTATCCAGTCTATATTTTTAATGCCTTGGTCAACTAATTTATCATCCAATCTCAAGTTTAGCAATAAATCAATATTTTGACTACCCATTATCTCTATCGGTTGTACATTCACTAAACAAGGATAATGGTAAGATATTTTCAGTTTAGTGACAACAGACTTTGGCCTCAAGTTGTTTCCTCTAAGATAAATATGGTCGATAAGGGATCTAGACAGCCTACCTTGTCTTATCTCTTCCCTAGTGTATTGGTCTATACATGAAATCAAGCCATTGGCAGCCATCAGGTCTTTATATGCATTCACAGTGCAGCAAAACTTGTTCATCAAATTAATGTTAACATCTCCAAGTGTAATAAAATATTTAGATTTAGTGCTCATAATTACTTCACTTAACTCTGTAATAAAAACTTTCTCATTGGTTCTCGGAGATTTATAAATAGCTAATATACAACAGACTGGATTACTTTGTTTACATTCTATCTCTAATAACATATGTTCAAAACTTTCTTTAACCAAAATAATAGAAGTTTTTACAGAAAATTTCTTTTTAACAAAAACACAAATACCTCCACCTTTACTATTCACTCTTAAATTAAAATAAACATTATAACCATTTAAGTTAAACATATCTACTAAACTCTCCTTTATATTTACTTCTGTCAAAACAATTACATCCAGGAATTTAAAACTAGTGTCAAACAACAAAATGAACTCATTCCAATGTTTTTTAAGAGATGCAATATTTAAATGAAAAAGGTTAAACCATTATCGAAGTTGTGTTTCTTTGCGCAAATTATTAATTCTGCTATGTCTTGGCAGCTAACTGATTTTATCTCATCATCATCATTTATAGCTTCAGCCATCTACAAGTATGCCATAATGTAATTACAAAACTAAAATTCAACTTACTTAATTTTAACTTAATCTTCCTCTGTATCAATTACTATGACCTAGGAATTATCTTCCTTCCTCACCCGAACCGCTCCAAATTTATACCAGATGTACTTATAGTTGAGACTCTTTGCCTTATCTTTAGCCGTCTTCAATAGGTTTCTGTAGTAAAAGGAAAGATTTTCGCTGATGTAGATTCTTCCACTATGATGTCCGGTAACCTCTGCATTTGTTACAACTTTCTTCCTAACCTCCAATAACCTATTACGTACTTTTCTGTTGGCAAACTATACAATTATATTAGCAGGCCGTTGTTCAGTTTTTGTTTTAGGTAAACGATGAGCAATTTCAATGTCCCTCTCCTCTAACTGCACCCCAAACTTTTCGGAAACATCATCATATTCTTCTGCGATCACAGGAAAATCATAGACACCTCTCGTGGTTACGGAAACGATATCGTCATCATTAGCGATCGCGGCGAAATTCAGAAAATCTAACACAGTTTGAAGGCATTATTGTCGTCTCCCGTGTTCTCGGAAATGTCATCATATAGTCTTCTGCGATCGCAGCAAAATCCTAGACATATCCTGTGGTCAGGGAAATGTTATCATCATCCGCAATCACGACAAAATCCTAAACATCTACCAAGTTTGTAGACGTTATTGTCGTCTCCCGTGATAACATATGAAATCGTGGCAAAAGTGTGAATTTTTTGATCGTGCAAACTTTGCAGACGTGTTTTACGATCACGATTGTAAAAGCTCGGCTTGAGCTCAATTTTCCAAGTTTGAGCTCGGTCTTTTGAGCTTGTTGGTCAGGCTCAACTCAAAAATGGAGCCGCTCGCACATCTCTAACAAGAATATATTTTATTAGGCCTATATTAAATCAAATAATACAGAAAGTATGGTAAATTTATGTTGTATACCTGAAAAAATCACCTCGTACGACTAATCATGTCTCTGATTAGCTGAGTTAGTCACCTAATCATAGGTTTTAATTACACGGAAAAATGTATACAAAAAAAAAATGGCCAGACCATTAGTTTACGAGACTATTAGACCTAGATTAGAGTCCCAAGTATTTAGAAGAGCTTGTGGTAACCAAATTTACTGAGTATTTTACAGGTACAGCTTATTTAGTTACAGAACAACTACGGAAGAAAAAGTTACAAGTGATAAAAGATTTTTTGTTCAATGGTTTCAACTTTCAATACATCAATTTTGAAAATTTATCAAACAGTAGTTTGTATTAGAATTCAAACTATTTAAATACATTTTTAAAAACAATGAAAAAAGAAATAGGAAAGAAAAGCAATTCACTTACATTTCAATGAATATGGAACCAAATGGCAATACACCACCAAGAACAACAATCACTGCAGGCTCCATAAACCACTTCTTCTCTGGGATTGGGCGAGGAACAGCATTGATTCTGCATGGATAGTCAGGCTGACCTGCTAGGTTGCGGCCCAGTACAGTGCCTACCATTGTCAGTGGTAATATGACAAACAAACAGATGCATGTCACAGCCACCTGTAAATCAACAGGAGCATTAGATCAAGTTACTACCCAGTACCATTGACTTTATATCTCTACACTAGACATCTTATCGTGTACTAAAATCCGTCGCCAACGATTTCAGCCGAACTAGTAGAGTAAACCCTCCATGCAGTGTCGCTCCTAGCGGCCGTGGCTTGAAACTCGATCTGGCTCCACCTCCAGTGCTGCGCGCGCACACGTAGTGGCATGACGTAACCGACGTGCCCGTGCGTATACCTCCCCCCACAACCCTTCCCCCACAACCCTTCCCCCACAACCCTTCCCCCACAACCACTGCCTCTCCTCTCCTCTCTCCGTACTGCCAGCCACAGACGGCCCGGCGAATGCGCTCTGCTTATCTTTGCAACACGCAGCCGGTGTCTCCGAGCCCAAGCATTGTGGTCGCTCGATCGCATACATGCTAACTTACCTCTTTAAGAATGCAATTAATTGGTTATAGTTTTACACTATGTAATTCCCAAGTAGTTTATATACATTATTATAAAAACTAAGGAAGAACCGTTTTGATGTAAATAGAATAATGATAAAATCAAATTGATTTACAAATATAAGCTTGGTAACTGTATAAATAGAATAAATACTGAAATTAGTGTGTACTTTTAAAATGGCAAAAACCTTTATAGGACGTCTATATATTTAATACACAGTTGTAAGTCTGTTTTCTCAGTGACTACTGGACTGATATGCAAGATTTATATGTCAAATTAAAGGGAATAATGCGCAGATTTGCCGAATTTCCTAAGTGCAGTATATACGTTTTTCAAACGCCCTTCAAAGGGCGAGTCGGTGAGTCATTACAATTCTTATTGAAGAATATGAAATTAGTTATAATTAATTATAAACCATTTGTCAGATGTGAGATATTTGTTATTACTTTTATAACAGAACCATCGAATTAAAAAAGTAAAGGACAGTGATGGTGTTAAATGTGCTCTGGGAGTACACTTGAGTCCCGCTAATCCGAACACGGTTAATCCGAACGTCCGCTTAATCCGAACACGTTCCCGATATTAATTTTAATAAATTTGCACTATATAAAATACAATGGGAAAGGTAAAACATCTTGAAATGAAGTATAAACAGAGTAATCAATTAAGGAATACAATGGTTTGTTTATTATGTAAAGTTTAAATTTACAAATCGTAATAAAAAACAAATAAAACAAAGAATTATTTTGTAAGAAATATTGCACATACCGTACTGAAAAATTAACTTTGGTTAGGCCTACTTGTTATTGGACATGAAGTCCCGCATTGTCATTTGCTGCAGTTTAGTAAGTCTGTTTTTTGTCGCGTAGTTCCACCATTTTCTCATGAACATCACATCTGCAGGCATGGCAGTAGACTGTTGTTCTAAGTAGCGAAGGGCAAGGTCAAGCGCTGCAGCTGCCTCATTGTGTGTCACTTTCTCCTCTCCTCCCCCGCCCCCTGGCTCGTCATCACTACCCTCCCCCTCGTCTCCCTGAACATGATCTTGCGTCACTGCTGCTACGATGTCATCGTCAGTCAGAGTCTCTGCACTAGTACCGTCTGCCGCCATCCATTCATCCACGTCCTCTTCTACCGCGTTTTCACAACCAGGAATGTTTCGAATCATTGGTAATAAGTTAACTGGGTCATTTTCGGTAGGGGTTTCTTCAAAATCTAACGATTTCCACAACTTTTTCCACAATTTTCTTATCGCCCCAGTTGTCACATTTTCCCAAGATTCAGCTGCCCAATACACAACATCCTTTACGTTCGTTTGTTTAATTTTTTGAACCAAGGGGATTGTATCATCTTCAATTAGGGACTTTAAAAAGTGTTTGCGATACTTAAGCTTCAGAGCCTGCAAAACCCCCTGGTCCCTTGGTTGCAATAATGGCGTCACATTTGGAGGTAAAAAGGCTGCCTTTATTTCGCCACATGTTTGTTAGTTCGTCGACATCTGGGTGGGACGGTGCATTATCTAGCAAAAGAATAGCACGTGGGGGAATGTCATTTTCTTGTAACAGATGGTACGAATTGGTCATGGAACCATTCTTTAAACAGTTTCCCGTCCATCCAGCCTCTCTTCTGGTTCCTGTAATACACTGGAAGTGACTTCATGTTTATATGCTTGAAGGCTCGAGGCTTAGCAGCTTTGCCTATCATCATAAGAGGAAGCTTATGGTTACCAGCAGCATTGGAACAAGCCATAATGGTTACTCGGTCCTTACACATTTTAAAACCAGGAGCACGACTTTCTGATTTAGAGGCCAAGCTTTTAGTTGGCAGTGCTCTAAAATTTAGGCCGGTTTCGTCAGCGTTATATATCTGTTGGGGGGAATAATTTCCTTCGCTTATTAAATTGTCAAATGAAGCAAGGTATTCCTGCGCTGCAGCCTGATCTGAGGAAAGTTGTTCACCGGTGACAGTTAGCTGCCGAATACCATGACGTTTTTTCCACCGGTCAAACCAACCGGTGCTGGCTGTGAAGGAACTGTCGCCATTTAACAGATTGTTCAACTGAATTGCCTTTTCTTGAACGATAGGTCCACTTAAAGGGGTTCCCCTTTCCCTTTCTTGCGAGAACCACAGAAAAAGCGCTTCGTCAACTTTATCATACTGCGACTGTCGCGCCGTTTGCCGATTTTCAAGGGTTACCTCTGAAGACGTTGTGCAATATTGTTGAAGTTTCGCACGGTTTTTTTTCCAGTCGCAAATTGTAGCTTTGCCGACGTTCAGCTCTTTCGCTAGTTTAGTCACACTTTCACCATTATCCAAACGTTTTAAAGTTTCCAGCTTATCTTTAAGAGTCAAAGTGTTATGTTTACGTTTGTTAGACATTGCACTTATCACACTAAAAACCCGTACACACGCAAATCCACAGGTGACTGACCGCACTACGTAAACAAAAGCAGACTAGATCAAGGTGTTGTTGTGTTGCGATTCTGACAATTAAGCTAGTTTATTGGTGAGGGGAGGGGGGCAGACGTGTAGGCTACTGTGTACAGTCTCGGTAAGCAGTGCGTGCAGACGTACAGTCCGCACGCATTATCGTCACATCATACACGTCTGCCCACCCGTTCATATCGCTCTACGCTAGTTGATTGTTGACACGCTAGATATTGCACAACTGATGCGCTTATTTAAGTTTAACTGTTGTTTTTTTAATTTTGTTGTAGTAAATGGACTATTAAAATTGGTTTTTGTGTATTGCTCGTTCATATTACGACACTACGACCCCTTAAAATTGCTTCCATCTTGATTATCTACGTTATTTCGGCTAATCCGAACAATCAGCTAATCCGAACGGGGTTCGGTCCCAATTAGTTCGGATTAGCCGGACTGCACTGTACCTACAAAAACACTGACTTTTGAATTGCGATCGTTTAATTGGATTTGTCCTTTGTCAATAGGCCTACTGCAAATCTATGAATTTCGAGACAGATAACAGGGGCACAAATACATTGTCCTCATGTTGTCCCAAGGGAAGGTTAAATCAGCTCTTTATCAACATTCTGAGCTCTTGGAAAATCTTATCAACTACCTATATATTTAATACACAGTGGTAAGTCTGTTTTCTCTTTATGTATAAGCATGAGTATGAGATGTATGGCTACATCCAATGTAAAAGAAACAAACACAATTTCGAAAAACTATTTAAATAATATAAGATCATACAAGTATATACAATTTGTAATTGTGAGTTCTGCTGAGTCTCAACCAGATAAATCAAAATCTGATTTTCTTCTTTTGGCTCTATCTTTTGATAATGGTTCAGTAGTGACTCTTTCAGTGTTTCTAGTTTATAACAATCGAAACCCGCTATTAGCACACAGTTCGTAAAATACGAATAGTAAAAATAATACTGGAACAGTAATTAAAAACTGCCTGCAAGGACTTGATGGCCATAAAGAACACACAGGGATGTTTGTATATTTATTGAATGTTGAAACATGTTCGCTAACATTAAACCTTTTATCAAGCCAAATATATTTTGTCGTTTCAAAATGTTGTATCTTATAATATTTTGGCAAAAGTATATATTTATTTAAATTTAATTTTGAGAACAGGAATCGCAATAGGATAACGCGCGAAACAGTTTTGGCGGGGGCGAAGAACCTTAACCTCTACGGCGCATGCGCATGTCAAAACTCTTGGCCTTGAGACTATTTTTCAAGTTGGGCAGTGGCGGATTTACCATAGGCACACTAGGCACGTGCCTAGGGGCGCCCCTCAACGGCTGGCGTCCTGGCCGCGGCAGACAGCGGGTAACGTGACGGGCGGCTCGACTACGGGTGGCGTGCGTTGCGGCGGGCGCCAGGTGATTATCGATCGGTGAAGATGACTCACATCACTTTCAGATACACAACCATCAGTAATTTTAGAAAAAGCAACAAAACTCCAAAACATTTACAATACCGACCTAGAGTCATCATTTGGGAGTGAGTGTGTGCATTTTTCTAAATTTATAAAGTGCAATAACGTCACATGCACACCTCTCTCAATGAGCAAGTTTCTCAGAGAAGAAACATTGGAGGATACATTTTCTAATGTGGATATAGCTCTTAGGATGTATTTGTCTACTGCAGTTATCAACTGTACTGCAGAAAGATCATTTTCTTCATTAAAGAGGATCAAGTCTTATCTGCGTTCTACCCTAAAGAAAAACAAGTTAAATTCCCTAGCTATTCTTAATATTGAAGCCGAGATCCTTAATTGTGAAGACTTTGCATTTGAACAGTTGATAGAAGAGTTTTCTGTAATGAAAGCAAGACGTAAACGTTTGATGTAGATGTAAAAATATGTAAGAACATGCTTTCACATTCATAATTTGTTTGGTTTTATAACAGTTTGGTTTTTGAAGCAAACCCTTTAAACAATTAAAAATACTAGGCCTAATACAATATATTTCGGATACAAAGAATATCATAATTATAAGTGACTAATTGTTCACTTTTTTCATTTAGATTGCATTTCAGTATTCTGTTTAGGGGTCTGCGGTGCACC